GAAGTATTCGGAGGAGGTGTTCGTCCCTTGGTGTGTTTAAGAGAAGTGTGTCTCATCTCTTATGTCTTCAAGAGAGGTGTTTTCTAAACTATTACAAATTGTATTTGTGTAATTGTAGTTTGCAATTGTTTTGTGATTAGTGAACTGTTTATCTTGTTTTGAAATAGGCGACTGGACGTAGGATTGTCAAATCCGAACCAGGATAAAATCATCTATGTAAATTTCTCTCAACCTTACTCTCTTTATTTGTTATTATTATTTGCTTTGTAAGTTTAATTGAGTAGAAATTTAAAAGACACACATTTTTATTAAAGACCAATTCATCCCCCCTCTTGGTTTGTTGTCTCAGGCTAACCATTCCGTTGTAGCTACTCTAACAATGGGTCCATTTAAAATAGTTTCCCAAACACTCCTATAAATAGACCTAAAAAAATATGCATTATAACTTTCTAGAATGCATAGTTATCATCAGTAAAAAGTGGGGGTTTGTTGATGTTGTCCAACCATTTTCATAAACTTTTTGAAAAACTATCAAAGCAAGCTTTGATACTAACTACTGAAAAATATGCAATGGAATATTTAGAGCGTGGACAATACCAAGAGGGGGTGAATTGGTTTTGCGTTAAAAATCACTTCTTTTTTTTAAAAAATATACTCTTGAAAAATTTCTTTAACAAGTTGATAATGGTAGAAAATACCGTTATCTGTGATAATAATTTTGATGTTAAACGCACCCTTGTTGACTTAGAAGCTTGCTTGAACTCATGTTTTTAGTTTAGTTTTGTGAATAAGTGAGTAGAGGGTATACTTAATGATTTTATCACTAAATTTCCTTGATTTTGTAGGTTATTGGAATGATTTGAAAGAGGAGTTAAAGTATCAAGGAGTTGGAATGCAGAAAAAGAGAAAAAAATGCAGTGCAGAAAAGTCAAGCTGAAGCTGAGGGCCCCCTCAAGGGCCTTGAGCGCCAGGAAGTCAAGGCTGAGCGCCCCTTTAGGGGCCCTAAGCGCCAGTCAAGGCTGAGCACTCCTTAGGGGCCTTGAGCGCCAGTTTTTTCCCGCACACCGCCTGGGCGCCCTAAGTGAGGTGCTGAGCGCCAACAACGTGGACTTGGACCTGTTTTTTGTTATTATTTTGATCTATTTAAGGACTTGGACGTCCTAGGGATTGTATCTTTTGATGGCTTGAGCACAGAAACACATTTTTCACCCCTTGAGGGTAGATTTGGGGATGTGACAACTCTTCTCTTCTCTTTCTAGGGTTTTTCTATCTCTTTCATTCCANATAGTTTCCCAAACACTCCTATAAATAGACCTAAAAAAATATGCATTATAACTTTCTAGAATGCATAGTTATCATCAGTAAAAAGTGGGGGTTTGTTGATGTTGTCCAACCATTTTCATAAACTTTTTGAAAAACTATCAAAGCAAGCTTTGATACTAACTACTGAAAAATATGCAATGGAATATTTAGAGCGTGGACAATACCAAGAGGGGGTGAATTGGTTTTGCGTTAAAAATCACTTCTTTTTTTTAAAAAATATACTCTTGAAAAATTTCTTTAACAAGTTGATAATGGTAGAAAATACCGTTATCTGTGATAATAATTTTGATGTTAAACGCACCCTTGTTGACTTAGAAGCTTGCTTGAACTCATGTTTTTAGTTTAGTTTTGTGAATAAGTGAGTAGAGGGTATACTTAATGATTTTATCACTAAATTTCCTTGATTTTGTAGGTTATTGGAATGATTTGAAAGAGGAGTTAAAGTATCAAGGAGTTGGAATGCAGAAAAAGAGAAAAAAATGCAGTGCAGAAAAGTCAAGCTGAAGCTGAGGGCCCCCTCAAGGGCCTTGAGCGCCAGGAAGTCAAGGCTGAGCGCCCCTTTAGGGGCCCTAAGCGCCAGTCAAGGCTGAGCACTCCTTAGGGGCCTTGAGCGCCAGTTTTTTCCCGCACACCGCCTGGGCGCCCTAAGTGAGGTGCTGAGCGCCAACAACGTGGACTTGGACCTGTTTTTTGTTATTATTTTGATCTATTTAAGGACTTGGACGTCCTAGGGATTGTATCTTTTGATGGCTTGAGCACAGAAACACATTTTTCACCCCTTGAGGGTAGATTTGGGGATGTGACAACTCTTCTCTTCTCTTTCTAGGGTTTTTCTATCTCTTTCATTCCATTGTTCATTTAGTTTCCCCATGACAATGGGGAACTAAATTCAATTTGTTGTTGGGGAAGATGTAACCTCTAAACTCTCATGTATTTGAATCGATTCTTATTTATTTATGCTTCTTTCATTAATTGTTAGGGTTATTCTTTGCTCAATGCTTGTTATGTTTAACTCATTCATGGCATGATTATTGGTTTTCGTGATATGGACACATACGGGGAAACCTAGATCTGGAGAATTGCTCCCAAAAGCAGTATTGCCTAGACATAGGGATATGAGTTTTGGTTATCTTAATCTTCTTTGCGTATGTAATGCAGAATTAATTGCTAGGGAGACAAAACATTGTAAACTAGTAATTAAGGATAGACTTTCTTCGCCGAGACATCAGATTTTAAGTAATTTAGAAAGTGATATTAACATTAATGAAGAAGATGAATTCATCATGCATGAGAGGAAACTTGGTGAAATCTGAACCCCCACAACATAGTCATCTCATATTTTCAACTTCATTCATTCATTCTAGTGTTTAGCCTCAATTGATCAATTTGCATTCATATTTACTTTCTTGTTTTGCATTCAAAAACCCAAAAATTGTTCTTCTTAAGTCTTAATTAGTTAAGCAATTACACAACTGTTTAGTGTCATGAGTCATTTGGAATACGATACTTGCGAACATCTTAACACAAGTCAAAAAACTTACTTTGAATAATAACAAGTAAGCAAAAGAGGATAAGAAAAAAAAAGCTTATACAAAAATATTTCTAATGATTTTGGAATAATCAATTATCCAAGTGATAATAAATTATTCTCACAAAAGCAATACTAAAGTAGTATTGGAAAAATAGTATTAATTTAATAACATTAATGTCTACATTATCAACGTGGTCTTGCTCGACAACAACCATGCATTTAACTAGGAATGATGGGTCACATCAATACCAAAACCCTAGCAACCCCACAACCTAAGTTGAAGAAGTGCTTCACTCTAAAATTGGCATTGAGCTCTCGAAGCTTCTCAATGAGAGTGGCGCACGCTACAAGCTTATCATAGTGATGTGAGATAAGGGGAAGCGAGCTTTGTTCATGGATTAAGGATTTATGTTTCCATTTTTGGAATGCGGGGAGCACCATGAAACTATGGAGAAAAGTGGGTTACGTGCGTTAGAAAAGGGTATCCAAATTTTTAATTTGTGAAAATTTTGAAATGGAGAAAAGTGGGTTACGCGTGTTTGAAAAATGACTAGAGTTTCAATTTAAGGAAAATTTTCAAACATATATCAATTGATTGATGCAATTTGGATCATTAAGAAATGAAAATTGAAAACACCTATATTTTACATGTAAAATATGACCATTTTAAAAATATTAGATAAAAATGTCATATTTTACATGTAAACTATGACATTTTTTCAATTGTCGTATTATATTGTAAAATATAATGTATTTATCTAGTCCTACTAATATACTAAAAAACATGATCCAACAATGCCTATTCAACTTTATTGACCTACACATTAACTAAATAATTTTAACATGGATATTTGTTAATTTTACTACTATATATTAACCGAATATATTCTCAAATCTCGATAGTTTGATTATATGATATATTAATATCAAAGGTATCCTTTTACACAATATATCAACATATATGATTAATCTGGTTCAATAGTATATTATTGCTATTTTAACACATACAATAAGCTTTTATTATTTATTGATATTCTTTTATACTCTCTATTTTATAACAGATTTCATGGACCTAGAAACTATAAATTTTTATTATTTACGGATTTAAGCGCCAGAGAGTCTCTTATAGGTGAATCTTCCTCCGTCAAATCCATCTAGGACATCATATTCATCGCTTGGATCCTGTCACCTGTCTTGTAGACTATATAACAATAATTTTAAACAATCGTCTTATTAAAATTGTCACAATATACATATTTATTTTGTAGTGATGACATATTTTTTTAAAACTTCAACCATAGAGATCTCAACCAAACGAGTGATCATTATCTCACTGCGACTAACTTAATTGAGAATTTTCAAAAAGAGCATTACCTATCACTTTTAGGCGTAAATGTGCAATGAAATTGTGAATTTGGTTTTTGCGTTGAACTGTTTATGTTATTTCAATGTTGAATCTTCAAAATATACATGATAAAAGTTATATTTATATTTTAAAATATATTAAAAATTCTTTTACTATATCAACATTAATATATTTTGAAAGCTTGCACAAAATTAAAAATTCGGCAAAGAATCGGAACTCGAAACTCTAAAATTATGGATATTAAAAGCAAAGTTTTTTTTATTAACAATACACAGTATAAGATAATTGATATTAATTATATTACAAATGTGAGTTATATATCAAGTTCATGATTAATTTTTAGTAGAAATTATTCACTTTCTTGATATTTTTAATTATATCTTTTTATTTACAAAACATCGGATTTAAAATCAATTTTATTCAGATCATGAGTAATAATGATTATGGAAACTCAAAAGGAGATGAAGAGAATTTGAAAATACATAAATGTGGCTTGGATAAGGAGTGGCCTAATAGTGAATAACAACTTCAAAAAGAAATAAAACTTTAAAAGCTAGAAATTAAAAAGTAAATCATAAAAAGGAAAAAAAACTACCATTAATAATTATAACCCACGATACACCAAATATATAGTCAACTTTCGACCACAACCTTTTTTCTTCATCTCTAAAACACGTTACAAACAACACCATGCTGATGGGTCCTCTTGTTATTATGGTGAATATTAGCTACACAAACATAAGCACCATCACGATGATGATGATCATTGTTACTATTATTATTGCCATACTATTATCAGTTCACCACCCTGCAGTTTCTTCTGATCTCCCCATTGGTCCCAGTGAGAGGACTAATGTTGCCCATCTTCACCATGGCAACAGCAAAGTCCTTGAAAAAGGCAGCAGAATTGCCACTGTAGGTACTCACAAGGGCATCTTGAGAGCCACCATTGAAAAGCACTTGGTCAGAGTGGAGAAGGCCACGTTGGTTCACAAGGTTAGTGTAGTAATTGTTGTCAAAATGGGTTGGTGTGACGGTGTCAAGAGGGGCCAGGTTGGTGTTCCCTCCAGAAACAGGACAAGTGGCCCTTCTTGTGGCGGCAAAGTTAGGATCAATGTTGGTTTCGTTGTATATGCGAGTCCTGAAGAATTGGCACTGTGCTTTGCCAATTGTGTGGCCTCCTGAGAGCGCTGTTAGGTCCCTTGCTGTCAGACCTTTGTGTGCAAACGAGGTTATCAGGGCGGAGAGGTTTAAGAAAGGTGAAGGGAGGTCGCTGTTGGCTGCACTCTTATTTGCTGTTCTTGAATCTCTTCTTCCTAGAGGCACTTTCCATGAGGGTCCTCCTAGCTGTAATCAATCATGGATTTTAAATTCTTGACCAGTGGAAACAACACATTTTCATTGTACTACGTACTAATGATGCTTTCATCTTTGGTGAGTTTCACTTTTGATGATCAATGGTTGGACACACTAAAAAGAGAAAGGACATATTTAGTGGGATTGTAGAACCCTAAATTTTTATGGGGTACCATACTATTTCTTCACAAAGAGATAAGGTAAGCATGAGAAATGAACCTTGATTTTTGTTTTATATAATGATGTTGTTTATGGAAATAAAGAAAGAAACCAACATCAAGTTAATTGCTAGTTGACTTGTTTGTGAGAATGACTTCACATCAGAACGAAGTCTAATAGAAGGAAAAAAGCCTGCATATATATTTATACTGTTTATATTTTACTTTTATTTACTGTGCATAGTGGCGTTTTGGTAAGTACTCATGTTAAAGAAAATATTCTAATTTGTTATTTCCTACAAAATACATCATGTTAAACGTTTAGTTATCGTAAAATACCCTTAGAAGATAGTGATATGCAGTGTTTCAGTTAAATACTAGTTTTGTTTGAAGGGTTTTGTAAGTATATGGAGAATTGGACTCACGAGCACAACTCCATCTCTTGCGGCAAGTGCAAGAATATCAGCACAAGACACGGTGGCATTGCAAGCAGCTTCAACGTTGTGTTTAATGTTATCAATAACTTCGAAGCCCCTCACTGAATTTATGTTAGGAAATGCAGTTTTCTCTCCTATGAATGTTGCAGTGTCGTCCAATAGAATTGATGCATCACAGCCCTGCAAACAAAGAGACAATTCAAACTATAATGAGAATAGTTTTGAACCTTTTATAGGAGCTCATGTGCTAGTTTATAACAACATTACACAATAATCCAAATGAAACTCATTTTTTTTTTGGTCCTAATTTTTTTTTTATGGAACAAAATGTGAGCTTTGATTGAAAGTGCAAAGAGGGGTCGCAAGGTTTACTTGTACAAAGCAATCATGAAAAAACAAGCGAAGAATAGAGGCACCAATCCTAGGTTCTGTGGCAATGGCTTGTTTCATTGTATTGTTCACTATGGTTTGAAGGTTGGGGCAAGTTCTGGCATAAAAGTGGGGAGAAAGGTTTGCATTGCTTGAAAAAGCCAAAAGAGAAAGAATAGAAACTATAACATAGAAACAAGTGTTAATGGAAGACATGTTGTCTATAGCAAGTTTGAATATAGCTTATGAGGCTTTTGTGTGAGTTTGTGAAGTTGGTTTTAGAAGTGAGCATGCATGATATTTATAGGCAGAAGGGTGTTACGCATGCAGAGAAGGAGAAGAGAAGAGAGATAAAGAGTTAGATATTTGAGTGAGAAATTAAAATTAGAAAATGGAAAATTATGTCTCCAATTAATTGTGTTTGGTACAATTTTCAAACTTTGCTGCTTCTACTTTACATGGACGTGCTTTGCTTTTGTTTTGGGAAAGATGAATGGAAATAAAATTGTAAAATGAAGACAAAAGATACGAAGAGTGGTTGACTTAAGCTATTTTAACAAAGCATGCATCGTTAGTGCAAAATAAATTTAGTAGAAAAGACTATTAAATAAGTTGTAGAGAAATTGATGTTATGCAAAATACAATGCCAATTTTATAAATATCGGAGCGGAAATTGTTTATATATATATATATATATATATATATATATATATTAAATCGATTAAAAAACTAACTTATCTAATAAATATATATTAGATCGATTGAAAAAATAATTAATTTAATAAACTTCTTTTATTAAGTGTAAAATATTTTTTTCACTTTTTACGAAGTTCTTTATTTTATCACAGCTTGCAATATAATTTTTAGTTTTTCTTTACTCTTCAACTCTTTTATTTCTCATTTTCGAAGTTCCAAAATCTTCTCTAGTCCTTAACCAATACACCTTACAATCATCATTACTAGCAAAATCAAAAAACGCAACTCGTAAACTAGATTTACAATGAGCTACTGCAACACAATTCAAACATTATCTCATCAAAAAAAACTTGGGTCACAATGCAACAAACTAGCATCACGTCACTATTAGTCTTTGTCAAAGCATACACAAGCATCATTACCAACCACCACAAACCATTGCAGCAATTCACAAACGATGTAGCAAGTATGCAAAAATCACTTTCAAAAATGTTTTTTTTATAATTAAAGATAATAGATTATTGTTTCAAAACCGATCTAATATATCTTCGATATAAATATATATTAAATCAGTTAGAACTGCAATCTAATTAATATGCACTCCAAAACTTATTTAATATATCTATTGTGCACTATAACATACAAAACAAAATAGTGACACCGTATTTTGAATAGTATAATAAATGTAGGGTTTGAATTATTCTCTCATTGTGTATAAAAAATTTAGAGATTTGTGGCTTTAAGGAATTTAGTTTTGTTATCGTATCCTTTTATATATATTATTGTGATTAAAATTGGATTTCTTTATTTTTTACTTGTCTAAATTGATTAATGTTAAGTTGGATTTAAATGTATAGGCTGATTTATTTTATTAAACACTAATTATATTTTATATATTAAAAGGGTTAATTAGTTTAGATCGAGTTAACAAAAATTTAATAAATAATAATTATGTCCATTATTTTCATTAAAAAGAAAAACATGACTCAAACTAATTAAATTTATTGTGATTGTAGATTCTAAAAGGGAAAAAAGGCACTTTATATATGATAAAAACTTTAATTACTGGTAGATTTTAACGTATAGTTATATAATAAAAAAATACACAGTGTTAGGATTTAATATTTGTTATGACTTAATATCTTGTTAGGATTTAAAATCTTGCTTGTTATTATTTCTATTTGTTATTATTCTGTTGATATAGCTGGTAGATTAGATAGAATTATAACTAATTTTGTTATAATCTTAATGTATAAATATCTGTATCTGCATTATGTAGATATGGAATAATACAAAAACTATTTTTGCTTCTCTATTTTTCTTCCTCTTCATTGCAATCTCAATACTTGGTTTGAATGATGATTCTAATAATTAGTGTAATTTGTAACTATGCAATATAGTTCTTTCCATTGTATAAAAATAACTCTTGGTTTTAGTTAATTTATTGATAAAAAAATTAAATGTTAAATAATTAATGTTTAATTAATAATTTAGTCAAATATCCGTAGATTTATTTTATTACGATTTATTTATTTAGTTCTCTTTTATTAGTGTTAACACCACGTGTTAATGTATTTTTTTTTTTCTTTTTGTTTTTTTTCTCCAAACGCTTATCGTTTCCCACTCATTGTTGTCTCAACCTCTGTCAGGACTTTTTGTCGTCGGAAGAGAAGTTTGAATTGCAGTTAGACCTAATGAGCGCTTCCAAATTGAAGTTTGGCGACGATCCTAAGAAGATCACATCTATTGGCGATGTTGTGGAGTGTAGGCAACAAAGGTGTTGTCCAGGCAGTATTGGATAAGGGGAGACTTTGGAGAGGAGGAGGATGAAAGTGCGGTCAACGATGTTGTTTAGCATTTGGACGACGAACAACAGGCGACGGTGTTATCGGGGGAAGGATGGGGAAAGTGTACGTAACACCCTTTTTAAGAGGTAATAGAACCAATTAACTTTAAAAGAAAACATAAACCCTATAGTGTCACATAACAATGAAATTTAACAAAATTTTACTTGTTCAATATAAATTAATATTAAAACCAAATCAAATAGTAATAGAACTGAAAAAATAAATTCACTACAATTCATTCTAATTCAAAACTTAGAAAAATTTTCAAATATTAAAACAACTTAAAAAATTATTTTCCAAATACTTTGTCATTGCTTCCAAAAAGCTTCCAAAAGTTTTCCCGTCTCCTCTGTGCGTCTCCAATGTATTAACATAAATTTTTTACTTTTATATACATAAATTTTTTACTCTTATTTGGCATTACCCTTTCTTACTTTTTACTCTCTTCTTTTTTTCAAAAAAATTACAAAAAATTACTTTTTTATAATCACTTTACCCTTATATTTGTGTGTCAATTAAACGTAAAAGTGTATTACCATATCATTACTTTAATTAAATACTGTAACGACCAAATAAAATACTCTCTTACACTAAGCAACACAACAAACAAAAATAAAAAACTGCACCAATTAAACAGTAAATAATAAACAAAAACATTATACAAATATTTATGAATCTTTTGACATAATTGAAATGAGATGAAATGTTAAGTACTAAATTAATCACAAAAGAACAATTAAAAACAAAAAAAAGTACAAAAACACTCAATATTTTTATATTGATTCAACTTTTCAAGAATTTACGTCAAATTATTCAGTAACTTGAGGTGAATTTTCAAGAGTTAGATTACAAATATACATTAATAACCTACACTCTAAACAAAGAAAAAAAAAACTTGAAGAAAAATCCTTCAAGAATTACAAAGAAATGGTGATGGTACGTACAATCACCTCAAATCTCACCGTATTCGTGAATTACAATAGAAAGTTACAAGTAAAAGAATCCGAAAGATGCCAACTTGGAATTTGATTTTACAATCAAAAGCCCTGTAATCAATAAATAACCCTGTAATCTTTGATCTTCTTGAAAAACTTGATTTGTGATATTTGATCTTCTTAAAAAACTTGATTTGTAGTCTTAAGATCTCTCTCACTCACACGGTTATTAGAATATCAAAAAGTTATTTTCAAACAAGGGAAATGGTAAGATTTAAAGAAATTTGACATAATTGAAATTAATTAATTAATTTTTTTTTTCAATGTGGAGAAACTGAATGAAGATATATTAATTAATTAATTATTAAGACTTAATCGATTAATGCAAAATAAGCAACTTATTACAAGTTTGCAATAAATAACTATTTATTATTGGTTTTACACAGACTTACAAAACACACACAAAGCCTAACACTGGTATTTCTAAGAAAGACGCTTCTACTAAAACCGTACATCAGTTCCCTTTTTTTAAGGTATGTTACCGTGTATTTAAGAAAGATACTTCTACTAAAATATGGATATCATAAATTACATCAATTCCCTTCTTCTAAGGTATGTAACATTGTGGAGAGACTTTTCAATCTTGATAATCTATCTTACCAAAACATATTTATACTAACAAAAATATTTCTTTATGAACTTAAATAAAAATCATGAATAAAAAATTTGAATTGAATAATTGAATTATATATGAAATGTTTTGAGACTTTATTGACATAATTAATTAAATACCAAATTAATGACTTTGAAAACTTGGTTTTGATGACAAAATTGGAAAGCTTTTACACAAATCTTAGCATAGGTTTCCTCTCTTAAGATTATTATACTCATAGATATGATTAATACGTATTTATACCTTTACATTAATTACGGATGAAGCATGCAAAATATTTGAGTCAGCTCTTTCAAAACAAGTTTTTATCTTTTTTTTTTTTTAAAAAAAAAAGCAACGAAACAGTCTTATTTAAGTTCATAATATTTTTATGGACGACAGAGCTTTCTTCGTTTTTTATATTATATATACATATAGTAGAAATCCACTTATTTTAAGAATAGATGAAATAACCTATTGTTAATCTTCATATTCTATTTTATTTTAAATTGACGGTTGAGATTAAATAAAAAATAGATGCATTTAAGTATTTAATAAGATATCTTATTAAAAACATCATTATCATTCTTTCCACAATTCATTTTTAAGTATTCTAATATTCTCTCTAATTTACTATTAAGTATTCAATAATTACGAAAAATATATTATAAAGTACGTATATTTAAATTAAAAATAATCACATTGTAATTATTTTAAAATTTATTTTTTATTTTATTACTGGCTAAAATTTAATTATAATAATATTATAATTAAATAATATAATTTACAATAGTCAAATATAAAAGTTTAACATAATCTTATCAATTTATTATAATTATTAACGTTTGTAATATATTATTTACATTTTAATAGTTCAATGTTTAATTCTTTAAAATATTAAGTACTTTTTTATATTTATGAATTATTTAAAATATTAATGAAAATAATATTACTTTATATTTCAATTAAAATAAATAAAGAATTAAATATATTTCTATTATCTTTCGGATCCTATAAAAAAATTACTTGTTTTAAAGATACATTTAAAATAAATCTTTAAATATACTTATATGTTTTAGAATACACGATGAATAGAAAT